TGTATACGTTATACTCGCATGTGTTGTAATTATATTCTATTCCGTTATTCAGTGTAATATGTATTATATGTGTATTTTATTTTTATATATTGAATTTTGTAGTACTTAAATATTTAATTATACATTAAAATCGCACATTGAAATATTTTACAACGAATTGTTAAATAATATCAAATTATTGTTGTCGGGTCGTCCTGTACCTAGTACTTTATAACTGTCCTACTGTCCTATTTTTATAGGCGTTATGYCATTTAAATATGCAATGCGAGTCCTGTGTGCTGTGTGATGCACCGTATACTACACAAATAGTATTAAAGGTGGACAAGTTTTCGAACATCATAATCATAGGCGCCGACTCCGTGGTGGCAAAGGGGGCGATCGCCCCCGTACACTGATTTAACGGGGGCAAAAGTATTATTTCGCCCCCGTGCCCTGTTGTGTACTATAATAATTATTTGGTTAAAATACCAGATTATAACATGAAAATATTGAAAATATTCATTAGAACATCGACGATTGTATATTTGTATATTACCTAAATATGATCCATAAATACTATAGATCGCTCGACGCTCACTACTATTTGGTTTTATATTTTGTCTAAAAATACATCTGTCATTTCAATTTTTCCCGAAATATGGAGACGGAACTGATTTTATTACCATTATAGTAAATAAACTAAAAATTTTCAATTCAATTAATATTATTTATAAATTATAAAACAAATATATTTATAGCACCCTAGAGGAGTATTAAAATAGAGTTAAGGGACAATTTGGTAATTACTCCTCCCGGTAAGCAAACTACAGCATACTATAGAATTTTTTTCACTTAATAGAAGAGTTTGCCCCCGTGCTAATATCTAAAAGTCGGCGCCTCTGATCATAATTAACTCAAGTTAAATTAAGAGGACRCGAGATCGATAAGTCAAAAGTTCACTTATCATAAATTAAACTCGATAAGATGAAAGTAAATATGAACAAAAATGAATGGAACAGATAATTTTTTTTTGTTGATTAGTACCTATGTGGATCACATAAAGAGTGACTGCGTTCTTATGGTGATCGGWTGCCCACTGTATCTGAGTATGGCTATACAACTTGTACACCGCCGCCGCCTACGGGCCAATATCAATCAGCCCGAAAAATGTTTACACATGCAACTGCACAATATGTACTATCTGCTGCACCTGTGCGCAAACCAATGTATGCACGAAAACAACGCCCGCCAGTGATATGATTTTTATTATTGATCATACTGAAGCCAAAAAATAACCGTTCCACATGRCCCTCATGACGAAACCGAACTCATAGCACGACATACATTATAATATCGTTTTAAAATTCAAATGTTGACTTTGAGTAAAATTAACGGGCTTAAAACTCAAGCCCTGTGCTCAAAATAATATACGTACGCGGTGCATAAAAATCCGTCAACAATGAGACTATCACACCCGCATATTATGTCACGTATATAACGTCGATAGGGTATAGATTTGAGTTCAGCCATTAATGTTGTGTTATTATTGGTACAAAAATACGAGTGCATTGACCTATTATCTATCGTAAAGGTGCTCTACCCGTTGTAATAGGTAACTCAACAATAGAAAATAAAATAAATAATATAAATAATATAATTTAATATAAATTACAAATATAAATTAATACAACTATATAAGAGGGCTCCTACCCAGTATTTATATTAAAATTAATTATTATAGGGAGTTGATGTAGTTATTGGTTCTGTGTCGTTCTCTACTCTTATAAGAGCTGGAGAATATGATACCAGATATAA